TCTCTCTCTCTCTAAACCATCCTAAATAAATTTTATTTAAATAAAATTAATCCCAGCCAAAAGTTAAAAATTTAAATTAGTAATTCTTACAATACAGTAACTTAAAGTAAAATAATAATTAGCACTCAACAGTTTTAATAAATAATTTTATTTAAAAAAACAAATAAATATAACAAATGAAGGAATGATTATAAAATAAATGATAATAAATATGTAAAAATAATTAAAACAAATCACGACTTAATTACGAAAGCGGTTGAGAGGGCGACCAAAGCGGCGGTTATGAACACATTGTTTGCCATATTATGGCCGGAGTTTAAGTAAACGGATTTTATAGCTCTATTTGTGCCACCAGGAATTAACGATTTCACTGTGCAGTTATAATTGCCCTGTTTCCATTTGCTAATGGTGATTTCAGCACCTTTCACATATGTTACACCCTCAACGCCGGCCACTGGTGTCACTAAATTTATTTTTGACAAATACAAATTAATATTTGATAATTAACTAGCTGGTAAATAAAGCTTTATATTATTTTGCGTACAGTAATATAAATCATGATAATGGATCAATTATTAGCAAAACTCACCTGTATATTTGCCATCGGAATGAAGTGTGTAAAATGTGGAATTTTCCAGACTGTAGGATAAACTTAGAAATGCTTCATTAGTTTCGGTCAATTTGTAGGAGCAGTTAAATCTGTAGTATGTGTTGCCATTATCCCAGTTCCACACTGGGTTAAATTCTAGGATGGGAATACAGTTGGTCGCAAATACCAAAACTGCCATGCTCAATAATACGCGGACACTTTGATTATACATGGTTATTGATTATTGAAGAGTTGTAACTTTCTGTCTTAATTATAGTAGAGTTATTTTTTATTTTAATTGTTAGCTTAAAACACAACTACTCTGTGAACAAAAATTTGTGGTCTTTTTATACGGACAGTAAAAATGTGATAATAATTTAATCTTATTGAATGGATTACTGATCTGCACTGAAATGTATGTATGACTAACAACTTGTAAGTAATCTAATGTTTTATTGTTTGCCATAAATAAACAATTTACAATACTGTAGATCGAAATATTGCATAAATGTTGATGTTTGCCATAAAATGTCATATTTATGGTGTAATTTTAACAGATACGACGAGTTCAAGTATGGTCTGGTTGGTATGATTATCGGTTATGTGTAAATAGTTACCTGTTGTACATGTAGTTCATTTTGTAGAGATTATAACTTTACCTTCACTCTATTATAATTAATATAAGATCAATAATATGAGAATATATGCATATTTTGCATTAATTATTGGTTTTATTTTAACTTAATCAAAATTCTAGATTTTAAGTTAAGTTTGTGTTTTAAAGCACCTGTGCAAAAAAAATATCAGGTACTCTAGACCTAACTGTACTTTACTATACATATACAGCAATTGTAAAGATTTAGTATAGATAATAAGTTGTGTGTAATTCTGTTCACTGATTTACAATTTACTTAATGATAATAAAACAATATATTTATTACACAATAGTATTAAAATCTTGATCCCATGTATACGGCGTATAGCATTGAAATTATGGTGTTACACAAAGTACTCGGGCTAATCATAAGTTTTGCATTTTTATAACCCAATCGTACAGGCAATCAGCCCAAGTTATTCACAACAATTTATTTTTATGCCCTAATCTATATTACGATCTGAGATCTAAGTATATCCGATTGTAAGTGTGAGTGAACTGCAATAAATTTTAATTGTAATTAACTTTATTTAATTACATTGTTTAAATATTTTTGATGCTCCAATATAAATTAAGATTCGTATGGTTTACTAATATAAACCCAAAATAAAGGTACTCGTAAATTGAAAATAATATACTCTTTTTAAATAGTTTGTTACAACCATCATCAATAATCATTATAATAATTTGTTTTAAATGATTTAGAAATTTAATAGATAACAAATAATACTTTAAACATATAAATTATTTAGTAAGATATCAAGTTGTCTAAATAATGGTTGTCCATGATGTATAGATAATTGTAAAATCATTATTTATCTTGTATTACAGACTATGGAAAATTTAACTAGTTAATTTTAAATGTAGCGATATATCCAAACTTGTTTATTAAAAACTTTCAAATTAGTTAAAAATGTTCACTATTTTTATAATTTAAAATTTAACAAATTAAATTTTTTAGTACTTTGTTAGTTAAAAATTATACACATTATACTTTTATATTAATAAAATTATGAACAAAACAATTCTTGGAAATTTATAAATCTGTATTAATTACTCAATTGATTCTCATATTAAACCAGATTGGTGAATTAATGATAATTCTCATTGATAATTTTAACTTTATTTTAGTAGAAAGTACGAAATAATCTGAATGATTTTTGCGTATTAAATGTACGTGCACAATCACTGATTAAAATGCAATTAATGTTGCACATATGTAAACATTGTTTACAAATTAATAACATATTATTCATACTTTATTGCATTTGTTGACAATTATATTTATCTAATATTTATTTTGTAATAAACATAGTTATGTGTTAAGCATGGTAACAAATATTTAAAGAATTAATCACACTTACAATGAGTAATTTTACAACGAATTTAGTTTAAAATATGTTTATTAAATAATTAATGAAAGTTTGTTCCCAGATTACAGGGAAACCTATGTGGTAAGAAAAGCAAGTGTTTAGTGCCTTATGCAATTTATTATTTGCTATTAATCCAACAAGCTAGTTTCCCATACACTTAAGTGCTGTTTAAAATTGATTAGATGTTTAATATTTATTGAATTGGTCCAAAGGATTAATTACAATAGTATATGATTGATGATAATAAAAATATTTTAAACCCCAGATATAATTAATGTTACTTTAAACTAGCTCTAAAAACGTATAAATACCAAACTGCGATTGCAGTAAAATTGTTAACTTGTTTATAAAGTTAATTTCTAGTGTTTTGTATTTTAATAATATAATTACTAGTAGTAACTAAATCACAATTTATTTTTACCACAATGAATAAAATCATATCATGCCTAATTGTGGCCGCATTGGTGGTGGCCATCGAATGTAAACGAGGTAATTATTGAATAAAATTTAGTTATTAGATCATTTAATTATGCAAAGAACTTTAATTAAACATCATGCTTTATTATAATTATTACTTGATAAAAATGTTAATTTTCACCATATTGTAATCATCATAGAGGCTAAATTCGCGCCGTACATATTCGTGCCGCGAACATCCGAGTTCAAATTGACCCAGATGAAACAAGAGTTGGGTGTGAATGCCTTTTCGCTGGCGTTTGCATTGGGCGGGTCGGGCGGCTGTACGCCCCTCTGGGACGGCGAGATCGCCATCGATGAGCCCTCTATAGTGAAAGAGTTGAACGCATTCCGCGCGGCCGGCGGTGAGCTGTTGGTGTCGACGGGCGGTCAGGCCGGCAATTATCTGGAGAACGCCTGCCGATCGACGGCTGAATTGGCCAACGCTTACAAAAAGGTATTACAAGTGACCGGCGCTAAGGGTCTGGACATTGATCTCGAAGCCGTCGTTCCCTTCGATACCGTAATGTCTGCGTTGGCGCAGATCCAGAAGGAGAACCCGGCCATTACGGTCAGCTTCACGCTCGAGGTAATTATTTTTGCATTTACTGTTTAGCTAACTTATTAATTTATAATAAATGAGCAATTATTTAGGCTTTATGCTATATTATTTAGTAAGTAAATAATTAAGTAACCTACCGTACTATTAAGCAAATTGCAGTAATAGTTTCATTATATTGTAAGTTATTTACAGAGTAGTAAATTAGTTTAACCTTGTTTATTTATAATTGAAAAGGTGCAAGGTGATGATTACGGTCTGACCGACGCTCTCGGTGTTGATGTGTTGAAGGCGGCGGTGAAACACGGCGTTAACGTTGATATTGTGAACCCAATGGCAATGGACTTCGGGGCGAGCGGTGGCCGTACGTGGGGTCAGGCGGTCATACAGACGGGCGAATCGGTCGTCAAACAAATGAAAAAAGTTTGGCCCAAAAAGTCGGAGCAGGAGTTGTACGGTATGCTAGGCGTGACACCAATGTTGGGCGTGAATGACAACGGGGTAATCTTTACGCTGGAACATGCCAAACAATTGGTCCAATGGGCCAATGAAAAGAAGATTGGTCATTTGGGTTTTTGGGATATCAATCGCGATAAACAGTGTTCGGCCGAATCGGGCTCGAACTCCGGCTCTCGCGCGTCGCCCGCCTGTTCAGGCATTCAACAGCAACCGTTCGCATTCACCAAGATTTTTACCGGATTTAAATAAATAAATAATGATGTTTATTGTATAGTATTTATTGAAATTAAAATGTATTGTTTCAATAAACTTATTTTTAATTCTTGATTCCATTAGACCTTTAATCATTGTTTTATACATAAGATAAAGATTATTACAAATATGTAATTTTTACGTATTTTAAGAATAGACTTTGTATTAATAGCGCAAATTTAAATATAAACATAGTTTATGAGCTAAATTAATTAGGAATTGTGTACTTACATATTAGTTTTATTAATTCATTTAATTTAAAATTAATAAACGTGATTTAGATGAAATATTTAGATAAAACACTGTATTTAAAGCACTTTAAATAGCTTTAATAATAGTTATAAATAAACTACGAAAGCAATAGATAAAGCGACCAAAACGGCCGATAATAAGGCATTGTTTGCCATATTATTATGATTATGATCATTGTCATTATTACCATCATCATCATCATCATTATTATTGTCAGTGTTAATAGAAACTTCTTTTGAGGCTTTGCTTACGCGACCAGGAGTTGAAGCATCGATCGCACATTTATACTTACCCTTGGTCCATTTGTCAATAGTTATTTCACCG